AACTTTCACAGCTGACAAACCAAAACAGTAAAGTTCACTTTTGACAAATATATATTTTCCAAGAGAAATAAATACAATTTAGAAGGTTTGTCCATTACATATCCATGTATGTAATGGACATATATTCATAGCCACTTCTAATTAAGAGGAGCTTTTTGACTGAAAGACAAAATATCTGACTATTTTTTTTCCAGAACTCTATATAGCTATTTACATTGCAAAAAAGAACTCACCAAAGAAAACTGATGTCTAATAAACAGTAGGGTTGTTTGTGCTATCTTAGTGCAGCTAAAAAACGTTAAGCTACCTTAACACTTGTCTTCAGTATTTTGAGTTGGTTTAGACTAGGAAACAATGCTCTTGTAAAGAAAAAGTGACAGTTTTATACCCCTCTCTCTAGAACAACTTGCTGGGTTGTAGTGGCATACGTTCCCCAGTGCCTGGCACGGATTCACCTTGTCATAAACTCCATTTATAATACTGTGTTTTCTGTAAAGATGGCAACATGAATGTGTATGCACTGTTTTGGAAAACAGATGCTCTCCATGAAGGAAAAGCTGTCTTTTAGGAAACATGAAAGATACTTAGTGATACAAGCACATGTGCTTCATGTATGCAGCTAAATCTCGTGCTTATGTTGTTTTGTGATCCAGAGACACTTATTAAAGATGTATTGAAGGACCTAGAGAAACACCAGGTGAATGTGGAGAATCTCAGCTCAACAGAACTGGATGAGATCGCTGATACTATCGCCAATGCAATTCAAACAGTTGGCATTCAGGAAGAAACGGAGGGTGGTGCTGGAAAAACTAGAGAAGACAAAACAGAAGTACAAATGAAAAAAGGAGGTGCTGAAGGAAGGGCAGAGATTCAGACTGGATTAATGGAAAACAGTGTTAACGTACCAGGTATTAATTCTAAGTGTTAAGTACAGCAAAATACAACTACCTTAATTTTCCTTTATTGTTTCACAGTAGTGCTAGACTATTTTTAATCAGTTTTAAGGAGGACAGGAGGGAAAGTTTCTTTATTTTTCCCTGAAGGCTGCACAATTTTAGCTTTGTTGTTTTCTTTTTACGGCAGATACTTTATTTATTGAAAATGCATCTTTTTTGTGAACCCTTGGTCTTCAAGCTTCACAAACAAGATAAACCTACACACCCAATTATATTGAAATACAAATTGCTTTATGCTGTGTGGTCTAATTTCCCTTTCTTGAAAATGAGATATTTAAGCAAAACAATAATGAAAAATTATTATATTCCAATAATATATTTCAAAATATTTGGGGAAAAAAATTATGTTTTACAGATAATTGTTATTTAATGTACCACAATTACTTGCTGAAGAAAGTCTTAGACAGGTACAGGTAGAAAACTACTTGTTCCCTTTCGTGCTTAGGGAAATAAAAGAGTTATTATTGTTATTTGCTTCTGTCTGGACACATATTTTCCTGGTGATGCACATTCAGGAGCTGCAGTAATTGCCATTAATGAGTTGATACCACAGCAGCACATAAGTTACCACTTACCCGTTCTCTGTTTTAGGAGTGTTATGATATCTAGGACACCAAAAACATATGCTATAAGTGAAAAAGTTATTTTGATTTACTGTCTTTTTTCATGGTGAGATATTGAAATTCTTACTAGTTAGGGATATTCTGGTTATTTTAATTGCCAGTTCTTTTTGTAGATTAAAATGAGCAGACGAGGGTTTGTCCCGAATCATGCTGGGAAAGATGAATTAGACTCAGTTCATAAAATAAAAAGCCAACTTTATTTGACTAAGGTTAATGATGTGACTGCATATCATCACTGTAGTTAAACCATAACATGGTTTTGGTAGACGATATCTATTGAAATAAGTCATCTTCTTCCACCAAAATATGTATGAGGGATGTATATGTTTCCTTTTTCCTTAATAGAAATTTCCATTCAGCTAGTTAGAGCCATTTTATTTTTTTTTCTTAGATATTGATAAACTGATATGAAGATTGGACACTTAATTAGCAAAATAACACTATTACATTGGCTCTTGAAGTACCCTGTCTATTGATCTTGCATTAATTTCTTATTGAAGTGGGGTTAGAATAACAATACTAGATTATACAGTGCTCTTTACTCTGCCCTTTCAGCTTTGAAGTCTTAATGTTTAAATTGCATGAGAAGGCCACAACTAGAAAGCAGCCTATAAGCGGTGTTTGTATCATATATGATGTTTTCCCTTCGTAACTATGTATTTGTGCTTTTCATATCCTACAGATAATCGAGTGCATGAAGCCAGCGAGAGAACTGATAAAGAGGTAGAGTACCAGTATTTTAACAAAACGAGTATTCCACCTCAGAATATCAGGTTCATATACCGTGAAGGTCAAAAACACACTTCTGAAACAAGACTTGTTTTGCGTCTTCTGTGGATATAATTCAATACCACAGCACAGGCATATTGTTGTTGATGCATTGAAATATTAAATGAACATTTATTTAAACCTTAACCAAAATGAGTTTTGCAGTTCAAAAAACCAAAATCAAGTCCTGTTATGCCTTTCTTTCATAGAACATTCATAACAGATCCCAAAGCTCAGACAAATTCAGGCTTTTTATTTAGTAAATTTTAAGTATTGAGGTGTTCTTGAAAACACCCTTCTTTCACCTGTCCTTTGGCTCTTAGTTTGGGGGAGTGTAAGCATCCTCGCTCAGATAATCTCTCTGGTTTTCAGAAGCAGAATCACATGTTTGTGGGAGGGTTCAAAATTCCCCCTGCTTTCATGGGATCTGTCATTCTTCACTTTACCATTAATTCTTCCAACTCATTGAATGTCAGAGGTATTTAAAAAACTCTAGGCATTACATCTTGTACCTTAGGTGGTAACATCAAATTTGGGATTTTAATCCAGATTACTTTTACATATTCCTATGAGCTTTGAATCATATCCTATAGACTTATGTCCATATTCAGCCAGTTTTGAGATATATTAATCTTTCTTTTTCTGGGTTGCATGGAGCAGAAAAATCTCAAAGAAATATTTTTAAAAACTGCTGTGAAACTTCTCCTACTATATGCTCTATCAAAAGCTAACACTGCAAGACTCATAAATGGGCAAAGCCTCTTGTGTCCACAGTAAAATGTCTTTAGTAGCTGCCCTTCTACCAAGCAGGGAAAACACACAAGTGGACAATGTAGCAGAAGCTTTAACCACCCACATGAAATTCTTCAAGGAATGAAGCGCTGCATTCACAATAGGCTTACAGAGGATCCCACGTGTAGATTTCTTAGTGACAGTTTGAATAGGGGATGTGATAGGAAAGAATATATTGTGACACAGAGCACAAAGTGCCCATCAGCAGTCATTTCCTCCCAAATGCTTGGCTGCAATAAACTTATATAATGAAACTAGCTAACAAGTTGTTCCAAGCACGTGTTTTGACTTTTGCTCATTTGCTTATTGTTTCGATTTATTAGACAGATTTTTTCTGTGATCATACGTTTAGCTTAGTGGATCACTCACAAACAGTTTGTCACAATTTCTAGAGATGAATAAGTGACATATAATTCATCACATAATATCTGTTCCCTTTCCTGTGTTATGACTTGTGAGACCCAAGAGTTTTGGGTCCCAACACTTAGGCATATTGATGGATATTTCTACTATTTCTCCTTTTCATTAACTTATTTGAGAACAGAGTTTTATTCTCGTCAATACTTAAACAGACAGACACATGAAAATGAACACTATGAAAATACCATCAGCATTTTCTTCTAGCTGTTCAAGACGGAGGAAAGGCTATCTAGATTCTGTGCTATCTGAAGAAGAAAGTAACTGTTAGTTGTAGAATTTCTTTGCGCTTATTAAAACTATTGAAAAATACAGCAGTATAATTTAATGCTCTTTTTGTTATTACTGAATAAACGTTATGTTCTTACATAGTCTGGCAGCATGTAGAAATTAAGAAAATGACCATGCGACATTTGTATGAATAGACTCTACCATATCAGTAAGAGTTTGAAAGATTATATCTAGGTTTGGTTCAGTATAACATTCCTGTGTTTAGTTTTAAAAATAATAATATTCTTTTAATAAAGGAGAGCACTGCAAAACTAGTTAACTTCTTGAATGAGAATGCATTACCTGAAAATATGCCTAAAGACCTTATACCTGAAGAATCTACCAAGACAGAAACCAAGAAATCTGAAGACACCGACTCTTCTTCCTCAGAAGAAATAAATGCTGGTGTGGAAAATGTAAAAAGTGAGACTTTCTCAAGGGAACTGACAGCTGCAAAGAACAGCGAATCTGACTCCAAAGACCAGAACGAGACCCGCTACTGGATTAAGAATACTTTAATGCAGGATGGAAACTCCTATGATGAGCCTTCTGAAAATATGGGACAAGGCTTACAACTTGAAGTGAAGTCTTCCGAGGATAAAGAATACGGCTATATAGTGACAGTGAAAGAGTAAGTACAGCAGCCAATGGCATCTTTAACTGGAGAAAAGATAAAGTCATTGCACCTAATGAAATATGAATGTACAGGAGGAAAATGCCACAGGCCTGATTTTTAATACATCTGAAACTGTTTGGGACCTATTCAGTACTTTGATGAAAATACAAGAATACAGTTCCATTTTCTTACAGTTGCCTTTCCTCCAATGCGGAAGATATTTAGTTTGTAGATCTTTTGCTCAGACCTCTCTCTGTCTTCTCATGTTCCAGTGACCTTCCAATATGTCAGTAAGTGTGCTTATGGTTAGGATGTGGGCTTTAAATATTTGACTTGAAAGTAGCCTAAATATCAATGCCTGAGTCATTCTTTCAAAAAATGACACACAATAATAAAGCACAATATTTTCTCAGTGGTTTCATTTTGATCTGAATATAACACGTATTGGAATCCAAACATCACATATGCAGCTAGTTTAGAAAGAAACACCTAATGATTTCAGGTCATGTCACTAATGAATTTGACATTTAACACTATACTTTGAAAAGACAGCTTTTTTCCCTGGTGATACACAGTTTATTTTAGGAACATTTGGGAGTTTAGAACTGTGTGGGCACTTTTACATCCTTCCCCCCCTCCCCGTGAGAACAATGTTATATTTGGTTAACGATCCCGACTCATCTGTGAGAAATTAGGAATTTCTAGGATGGACTTACAAACCTCTGCATAGCATTATAGAGAAACTGAGACTGAAACTTCTGTAGCATGGATTGACTCTTTTGACTGTCTCAAACTTATTAACGGGATTGAAGCGGTAGGATTGTGGAGGATTCTTGTTTTTACCACGTTGTGTTGCTTTGAAATGCCTGTGGCTGGGTATCAGAGGACAGCTTCTTGTTTGCCTTCTCCCAGGGGCTACACTTGAGAAAGATAGGATCACAAAGAAAGAACGCCATTTGGGGGAAGAGATTTTATGTGGTGCATGGAGGGACAGGCAGATGGGAGGAGAGTGAAAGCTGAGGTTCGGCAGCCTGCAAACATCAGAGACAGAGGCAGACAGAGACTTCTCAAAAAGTAGGGAATACCTACTCCTCAGAGATAATATATATTTCATAAGGACTCAGAGGTTACCCTGCAGAAAATAAAAGTTACTTAGTTACTAGAATGAGAGATGCTGAAGGAAAGGGCTCACCTTGTGAGAACATAGTGGGGATGAGAATTACGTTAACAGAACCTTGCATTGTTATCTTGTCTCATTCTGAGTTTTATTTTTACCATTTTAATGTTAAATTTTATTCACTTTATAAAGAAACCCAGCTCTAGAGTTTAGAAAAGATCTTTTGGGAGTTTTGGAGTACTTGCTTTAAGGAAAGTCCCAAATGATTTGAGGTGCTCATAGTTCTGTTAACATGTCTGTGTGTCAATAACTACTGTTAATCATTATTTAATGACCAAGTGCTTTGGATTTAATTAATCAGTTTTAAACTGCTTTTGCAATTACAGTTGTTTTTGTTGACTGGTTCCTGTAGCAGGGTCACTATTCTCAAGAACCTGCTTCAGGAGAAAGCTAGTTATTAGAGTATTCTTCCATTTTTTTGTCTCAGTCATACCTTAGTCCTTCAGATAGGTTACATTTCTGTTTGCTTTTTGTCAAGGGGGCACTCAGGAGTCTCCTTCTGTGTTTTTGAAACCAGTCTACCAGAAATTGATGGTATAGCCTAGTTTAACCACACCTCTTGGTTCCTGCCTATGAATGCGATGTGAAGCAGTAGAAGCCAGTTTTCACCCAGCTCAGTCCTACTTCCCCCAGGGCTTTTAACTCACATCAGTCTGGAAGGCGGCTTTATATCCAACAGTATCTTAATGACACCATCTCCCTTGACCATCCAGACTTATTTGGCTCATAAATTCTCTAAAAGCTTAGAGCTTTCACAGCTCTATGTAAGGGGAGACGTTCTGACTTTCAGTCTTCAGAGCATGTAGATTCTTCACTGTGTCATCTTACCTGGTTTTCTTCCTGGCCAGTCCCCCACTGATGGGTTTTCCCCAAATTGTGTCTATTATTATTCAATGAAACTCACTGAAGAGGGTCGTTTGTCCAAAGGTTCTTGGTCCTAGAGGACTCCATATACACAAATATATTAAGCATAGATTTGTTCAGCTTCTTTACCATTTTCAATACCAGAAAGACAAAAAGGACTTTTCTTATGCACTAGATTATTACAATCTTAGTAACTTTTGGGCAAGATGCTTTTAGATAAACATTGGGATGTTGTTAAAAATACTCAGAAACAATGAAAAAAAATTTGCAATGAGTTAGATGAGACTACTTCAAATGGTTTGAATTCAAAAATATGTTTATCAAAACAATTTTAGCTTTTAATGGTAAACAGCTTATTACACAAAGCACATACTATTTGTATTCAGAAAACTTAACTGATAACTCCTCATTACATTCTTACCACTTCGAGTACAACTAGATGTCATCTTCTCCAAAGTCACTGCAGATAAAAAGAGAATAAGCTTTCATGTGGGTTTTTTTCAGTTCCTAATCTAGAATAAGTTAATTATTAAAGAGAATTAGCTGATTGAGTTGTCCTAAAGCAAAATTCCTTTTGTACCAGGATTATGTTGCATTCGATCTGCAGCAAACAGATTTTGGTTCAGGGTTCTTAGCCAGTGACTTATAACTCTTCAGTGATTTGACCCTCTTCAGCATTTCAAATCCAAAATATACTGGTTTAATTTTTCTCGTTGTTAAACTTGTTTGTTTTGAATAGGTTTATCTGAAATGTAAAAGTAAAATGGAAACCCCATATTTTGCAAAACAAAATTTATATATTCTGGAATTTTATAATAACAACAAAACCTGTTCAGGAAATTCCACATGCTAAAAATGGACTTGTCCACTCTGTAGGAACAGTGAAATACTTTCTACAGCAGTTGAGGGATCTGTTATGTACTAGTATTTCCCACAACCATTTCTTTAGTTCATAAAGTGGCCTTAGAGAGCAATTGGATCAGTGTAGCCGAGAGTTTCAGTAAGGACTTGGTTTCATGAATGTTGCTTTAATTGTATTTTTTCTTGGGGGAGAGAGGATAGAGAAAGGGATGTTTGTTAACTGTCACTGCACAGAAGAGAAATTTTAATGTCCATTTAAGCTACATTTCTTAAGTAAGCTTCCTGTATCATTAAGTATTTGTACTGAAAACCTTACTGGCTGTTTGCAGTAAATAAATAGTATTGATAAATGGCTTAGGTGTATGCTACACATTTATATATAACTGTACATGCATGTTATATTCATACAGTGAAGTAAAGGGTCTGGAACTATTCCTAGTCAGATCTTTAATCTTTGTCAGTCTAAAATCACTCCTGTTTGAGAGGTGATTGTATTCTGTAAATACTCAGGAAATGGATTTCACAAGTGATCTTTGATATTTTGTGTTTAGATCTTTATGCTTTTTAAAAGTTCTCTATTTTAAATAGAGAGGAAGCTGGAGCTAAAGGTAGGCATGAAATTTATCTTTCTAACAGCCTGAGTGTTAGACAAATTCATATGTGAAGTATCTTTCTTGCAGCAATTAGCACATTTAAGATTATAAACGTAAAATTATGATTTAGGTGGGGCTTTTTAATCCACTCTTAACTTGTGCACACAAAATGAAATGCCAAGATATGCCATGAAAGGTACTTATTTATTTTCCAATACTACTATCTTAGTATATTTTTCTTCTTCCTCCACAAAGCAGTAGGTCATAGTTTCAATCCATCAATTTTTATTGGCCATGATTTTTTGGAGCAGCGAAGCTTCATTTTTACAGCTGAAACAGTGGTCTTTTGGTAAGAAAGGGAAGTAGTCCAATATATTTGTACACTGGAGGATATCTTGAATTCTTTTCACCTTCTGATCTCAAAATGGAACTGAAAAGATTATACTTGGTGGTATAGTCGACAGATGTCAGGGGTGATCCATTCACTATTAGATTCTCAGGCTTCCATGCCTTTGCAAGTGTGACCCAAGGAGATATTAAGACTCCTTCAGTGAACTCCTAAGATGCCAGCTTTTAATTGTGCCACAAAGCAAAGATAAACATTTCCATGTAATACTTGAAGAAAAGATTTGTGATAGTTTAAAGACTTGTCAAAACGGCTGTCTGATTGTCAATGGCAAGAACAATAGGTCGCTCCTGCTGTGTTTGTCGAGTGACCTTTCAGATGGTTGGAGCAGTGCAATCCATACCAATCCATAATATCCATCAGTGCTAAGCTTTGGAATGAATTGAGAGTTTCAGTGTAGAAAATTGTCCAGCAAATCCTCCACTGTGCTGCTTCAGCACTTTATTATGCTGAGAAACCAATCAAATTGGGTGATTTACTTTGTTTTCTCTTTTCTCCTTCAAAAAATTGGCATTCTACCACTGTAGGATTTGTGTGAAAGAGGTTTGTTTCTTTCTCAGCGTAACTGTTTTGAACCGTTTCTACTAATTTTAGCTCTGAAATTCTAAAGTAATCTTATAAAACAAAGTTATCTACAGGATGTTATTTTCATTTGTGTGCTACTTTGGCCATAGTTATAAAATGCCTCTCTGTTATAGTGGGGATACATCAATGTGAGCTCTCAAATCAGGGAAGTCCTTGCCTTTGGACCAAAGAATTCTTATTTTCTGAACTTCTAGTTCTTCAAGCATGGAAAACTTTTTTTTTTTAATTTGGAAATAATGCCAACACTCCCATTTTTCTGGCAGGATATGGCCTAAGCTGAGGGCCTAAATCCCACAATCAAAGCATTCAAACAGTGTTTAGCCTCCTGAGTCCCTCATGAGGAAACCCAAAGCCTGACTTTCCAGAACATGTAGCTCTTACCACCTCCAGTAAAACCAAATGCAAACTGCTGCATGCTCAGCAGTTTAAATAGTCAAGCTGGTGTGCAATTTCTTAAATACGAGATTGAGTAGTTATACTTAAATGCACTAAGAAAAATCCTAATTTGAGAGTAGAAAGTTCATCTCTT